GAAGGACGGACAGTGGCTCGAGCAGGAAACAGAAGGAAGAAAGGGTTCAGTGGTGCTGGAACTGGAGCAGGACTAGGTTGAGATGAAAGCTTGAAAAAAGAGAGAAAGCAATAAGATGCAATCTCACAACCCAGCTCGGGGAAGGAAAAATAACCTGAGTGAAAATGGTGGGAAATTAGGAAGAAAGACATGCAGGAGACACAAAACACACAGAAACAAAGGTAGGATGGGGTCGGGGTCGGGGTCGGGAGGGCTGATGGCTGCAGCCCGCCGGCCAGCACCACACTGATGGCTGCAGCCCGCCGGCCAGCACCACACTGGGGAAGCAGCTGCATTTGTAAAGTATCTTTTTTTTTTTTTTTGCAGTTTTTGGCTAGGGCTGCATTTGAACCCACCACCTCTGGCATATGGGGCAGGCACTCTACTCCTTTGAGCCACAGGCGCAGCCCCTATTTGTAAAGCATCTTTAACAAGGTAAATCTTAACACCTGGGGTGAGGGTTAAGCTTAAGGAGGAAGAGCTGTAATAAGGAAAGTACGTAAGTGCTGTGTGACTTCTGGCAGGTGAAATGTTAAAAGAGAGGAAGTGGTGGGGTCCTCCCTGAGTGTTTCCCAGGCTGTGGGGGACCCTGCCACCTCACAGCCTGCTCTCCACAATGCAATGCACAATTTGTTTTTAAATACAAAAATGAAACACACACACACACACAATGGGCTTTGGAGCAAACTTTTCTGGGTTCAAATTCTGACTCTTCTTCTTGTTAATTAATAGTTCTTCTGAGTCCTAGTTTCCAAATCTGTAAAAAGGTTTAAGGTGACTACTTTAAACAAAACATCCTGTGCTTGCTGGCAAGTAAGAGGCAGCGTCCCCCCCCACCCCCCCATCCTCCATCTAGAACTCAGTTTTGCTCCACCCAAAATTAGGGTTGCTAGAAAAAATACATGCAATAGTTGGGACATACTAAAACATGATTCCTTATTTACTTGAAATTTAAATTAACTGGGTGTCCTGTTTTTGTTTTTCCTAAATCTGGCAACCCTACCCCCCCAATACCTTGTACCAACCACGCAATTGAAGGCCCCGTGAAGGGTAAAGGGTGGGTGCTGCTGCCTCCCACTGGCAGAATGTGGTAACACAGCCCATCCCAGAGACTAGTGCACCTGCCAGCGATGGTTTTCTCTGCAAAAAACGGTGCACAGCCTCACTGGGGATGTGATGAGAAGCTTTTTATTATCTTGCTAATCTTTTACTCTAAATGCATCACTAATGCAATCCTTCTATCTTTTATTTTAATTTTCTCTGGTACTAATGTATTTCTTCTCAGCTGTGTGGTTTAATAAAAAATAACTGCACATTCAAAACTTATGATTTCCTATTAGAGTCCAAAATATATTTTGTTTAAATATATAAATTTTCACTTGAAAACCATTTTATGGGCCCAGCGTGCATCTGCTGTGTGACTCTGCTTAAAAAGCACTTTCAGGTCACTGTTGGTACATGTCCATTTTTCTTGGCAAAATGGTGACGTGTTTTATGCGTGTCTGACATGTGGGTGCGTGGAAGTAGGTAGCACTAACAGGTGCCTGAGAAGACGACAGCTCTGTTACTGTGGTGACTGTGGTGCTGCTATGTTCGTACAGGGCCGTGACAGAGGGGGAGGGGAGGGTGCTGGGCAAATAGCCCCTAATAAGCGAATGTGTTTCTAGCAGGAGCTGAGGAAATGCAGAAGCCCTCCCAGGCACTGTCTCTCTGTGTCTGTCAGCTGAACAGTCCAGGACTGACCGGGACATGTTCCACTCCCTCCCCGTAGCCAGTTAAACCTCACTGATGGCAGCTGCAGCGCCCTGCTCTCCACCTGTTTGGGTGTAGCAGACAAACCCCTGTGCTTCTTGCCCGCCTCTGCATGCACCAGAGATAAGTTTGTTCTCAAAGGCTTCTCACCCACAAATCCAACTGGGTATTCACACTGAGGTCCCCAGGCTGCCAAAGCAGTCAGCATTTGAGCCCAGTGGCAGGAGCAGTGGTTAAGTTTTGTGCCTGGGAAATGCCACCTTTTTTCAGTTGAACTTTTATAAGAGCGCAGGCTCTTGCTGGGTCATCTCACTTCTTTTATTCTAATGGAGGTGCTGGAACCAGGAGCAAGAGCCAACACTCCTGAGGGTAACAGTATCCCTTAGTTACCAAGACTCAGACTCCCTGGAAGATGGGAGATCATTCTCAGAGCCCACCTTCCTCCGGGAGAGGGTCACGGAGTTCTTACACCCTCCCCAAAGCCACTGTGTTCACCCACATTCTCTTGCCACACTCTCATCTGCAGCTACAGGGCTCTTTGTCACACTTCTAATCTGCTGTGTTTTTCTTCCACCATCACCAGGGTTGTGACGGCCTTCACGGAGTCAGGAGCAGGGAGGGCTGGCTGTTGTGACCGTCTGATAACTACTAGATCATTAAGTGACTTTTACAGCCAAGGAGGCTTTGAGGCTGCATCTCCTCTTACATTATTGTGGTCATTAAGCATCTTTAAAACCATCTGTTATTGACAACACATTGTTCTCATCATATAGCTAAGCCTCCAAGCTCAGAAGAGGAATTGGAATCCAGGATGGAGGAAAGTGAGCAGTTCCTGCAGAAGCTGGACAGAAAGGCTGACAGCAAGCGTCTGGACTTGGACAGCTGCAGGGTAACAAGAGTGGACATCAGGGAAATGGGTCTGTATGAGGTTGGCTTTGGGCTTCATTTGGGGACAACAGGTGACACATATGCAGTCACCCACCTGCTCACCCCAAACCTGCAGTGGTCCCAGACAATTGTAGCAATAGCAGCTGCATCGCTATTAAAAAAAAAAAACCCTCAAAAACCAAGTTAATTGATCCTTCCTCAAGTTTTGCAGACTTGAGCTGAGTTTAGGAGAAACTGAATTCATTTGTTTGTTTTTTCCTGAGAAAGTTTACCCCCCAATTGCCCCTTGTGCTCTGAAAATCACCTTCCTTGCAGATGATATAAACTCAACTGTAAAACTAGACCCTGCTGGGAATTTAAAGGATATTGTGTTGTTTGTTATCTATGGTATGAAAAGTGTAACTACTGGCAATTATTGGCTACACCTTCTGTACACAAAGATATGCCTGCTCTCTACCAGGACGTTGTTTGGGAACAGCCCTCCCCTGTCACATCACCCTGCCTTCCTGTTGCTCAGACACCTTAAATCAGATTAGACCTGCAGCGACTCAGAGCTGTCTCACATGACACTAAAATTAACCATCACCTCCTAAAAGTCCAACCTGTTAATACTGTGCAGTGGGGACTAGGTTTCAGTATATGCATGGGGGGCAGAAACATTCAGACCATCTCACTGGTAGCATTTCCAGTGAGGGTCCTTAACCCTTTGTTAGTCTGTTCAGGTTGTTCTGTGACAAAGAACCTAGACTGGGGAATTTACAAGCGAAAGACGCTTTTTCTTTTTTTGAGACAGAGTCTCACTATGTTGTCCTTGGTAGAGTGCTATGGTGTCATAGTTCACAGCAACCTCAAACTCTCTGGCTTCAGCCATTCTCTTGCCTCAGCCTCCCAAGTAGCTGAGACTATAGGCTCCCGCCCCAATGCCCGGCTATTTTTTTTTTTAAATTATTAAATCATTGCTGTGTGCACTAATGCAATCATGGGGTACAATGTGCTGGTTTTATATACAATTTGAAATGTTTTCATCAAACTGGTCAACATAGACTCCACAGCACTATTTTTTTTGTTGTTGCAGTTGTCATTGCTATTTTTGCTGGCCTGGGCTGGTTTCAAACCCGCTTGCCTCGGCGTAAGTGGCCAACTGAGCTATGGGCGCCACCACGACAGACACTTATTTCTCCCAGTTCTGGATGCTGGGAAGTTGCAGATGGAGGCCCTGGCAGACTTGACATCTTCCTGGTTCATAGGTGGTGGCTTCAGTTGTGTTCCCACATGGGGGGTGGGCTCTCTGGGGTCTCTGTCATAGGGGCCTCTTCCCATCCCAGGACCTAATCACCTCCTGGTTAGGGTTCTTCAGAGGGACAGAAACAGGATCTTTACAGGTGTAGCTATAGAGATGTGAGGGGTGTATTAGGAGAATTGGCTGTGTGATTATGGAGGCTGGGAAGTGCCCTGACAGGCCCCTGCAGCTGAGACCATGGGGGGCTGGTAGCATGGCTCACTCCAAAGGCCTCAAAACCAGGGAAGCCAATGTTGTGGTTCTCAACCTGAGGCCAAGGCCTGAGAGCCTGGGGGCCGCTGGTGTAAGCCTGAGGAGCCTGGAGTTGTCCAAGGGCAGGAGAGGACTGTGGTCAGCACCAGCAGATGGGTGGCATATCGGATTGTTTGTCTTTTCTGTTTGTTCTCTCCTGGGCCCAGCAGGTTGGGTGGTGCCCTCACATGGTGAGGATGGATTGTCTGCACCTGGTGCACGTAGACCCACACACACTAATCTCCTCTGGAGACACCTGCACGGGCACACTCACAAATAAGGCTTCAACTTGACACTAAAATTAACCATCACCTCCTAAAAGTCCAACCTCTTAATACTATGCACTGGGGACTAGGTTTTAGTATATGCATGGGGGGCACAAACATTCAGACCACCTCACATTTTTATTAAAATTCACACAATTGTGTTTGGAATGGGTCTTTTACGAGGGAACCCTGTGCCCGTGGTTCTCAAATCCCTGTGTCAGAACCACTTGTGGAGCTTGTGGAAACACAGTCGCCTGAGTCCAGTGCAAACCTGAGAGTCGTGTCCCCTCAGCGTGGGCCCCTCACAGGATTGACCAGCCCCTCCTGGGGCTCTGACGCCCACTGAGGCTCGACCACTCCCTTGTGTTTTGTGCATGGCTGTCGTACCTTCCTGACGGGGTTACTAACAGAGAGGAGGCTTCATTTCCCTTAGGAACTAGAAATATTGGGAGTGAAAGCTTATGGGACAGAGTTCACACTAACTCCATGCTTAATGTCAGAGAAGCACATGTTCTTGGTGGCCTTTTTTGGCCTTCTTGATACATTTGATAGACTTTGATGAAGTTAGGATCCTGGTGAACAAGATGAAATTGCTCAAGTGCTTTAAATACTATGAAAAGGAAGCAGTTTTTCTCTCATCCACGGCTTCAGAGTTTTGTCTGGTCTGGAATGGCCATGCCTGTCACTAGAGGGGCAGCTCTTCTGACTGCTGCCACCGTGTCACGCACACAACATGTGACGAGGGAGCAGGGCGATCCCCCCTCTGCTTTGGGGTTGCCACCCCTGGTTCTTGTTGCTGCAGGGGGTAAGGGTGCCCTCTGGGAATCTCTTCACAGCGTGACTTTGCTCTCAGCAGGGTGGCAGAGGCTCACAGAGGGCTCTAGGCGGCTTTGTCCCCACGTGGACCTCCACATCTTCCTCTTTTAAGTGTGCCAGGACCTTTCAGGGGGTAATAGCCAGGTAGTCAAGATAGAAGGCAAAGGTAACGGGCGAACTCAAGCTCGGCAGTCCTGGCCAGCAGAGCCTTCTGCAGGCCCTTCAACCTGGGATCCGATAGTGACAGGTGATGATGTGAGAAGGTTTCGTGGAACAGAATTTCCAGTGCACACTCCTGTAGTCGTGTGTTAGAATTACCGTCACTGCTGGTGGGTTTAGCTACATAGAGGAGGTTCTGGGAAATCTTATGGAAACACCACTGCATTTTGAGAGTGCAGTTTTTTGGTGGAAATAGAAAACATCTCATGAAGTGGGAGATGCAGATGTCACAGAGTCTCCCACACAGCTGTGTCCTGTGCTGCTCAGAGTCCATGTGCCCTGCCCTCTGATCTCCTACAGGGCACAGCTGTGTCCTGTGCTGCTCAGAGTCCACGTGCCCCTGCCCTCTGGTCTCCTACAGGGCACAGCTGCGTCCTGTGCTGTTCAGAGTCCATGTGCCCCTGCCCTCTGGTCTCCTACAGGGCACAGCTGTGTCCTGTGCTGCTCAGAGTCCATGTGCCTCTGCCCTCTGATCTCCTACAGGGCACAGCTGCGTCCTGGGCTGCTCAGAGTCCATGTACCCCTGCCCTCTGGTCTCCTACAGGGCACAGCTATCCCCTGTGCTGCTCAGAGTCCATGTACCCCTGCCCTCTGGTCTCCTACAGGGCACAGCTGCCCCCTGTGCTGCTCAGAGTCCATGTGCCCTGCCCTCTGATCTCCTACAGGGCACAGCTGCCCCCTGTGCTGCTCAGAGTCCATGTGCCCCTGCCCTCTGATCTCCTACAGGGCACAGCTGCCCCCTGTGCTGCTCAGAGTCCATGTGCCCCTGCCCTCTGGTCTCCTACAGGGCACAGCTGCCCCCTGTGCTGCTCAGAGTCCATGTGCCCCTGCCCTCTGGTCTCCTACAGGGCACAGCTGCATCCTGTGCTGCTCAGAGTCCATGTGCCCCTGCCCTCTGGTCTCCTACAGGGCACAGCTGTGTCCTGTCACGTGGCACTGGGTTCTGCTCACCACAGGTCCAGATCGCATGTGCTCTCTTCCACTCACACCCAGTCACTCTGCTGCCTTTCCTCCCGGACCTGGAAGAACTGGATGTGTCCTGGAATGATTCCATAGGTGGAAACCTCCACTTAATCACCCAGCAAGTGCACCTGGTCCACAAGTTAAAGACCCTGAGGCTGGGCAGTTGCAGACTTACCACGGAAGACGTCCAAGCTCTGGGTAGGTAGGATGAATGCTCCCTTAGCAGGCGGCTTCACTTGAGGCACCTGTTGTCCTGAATCCCACAGCCAAACGACTGTGTTGCCTCCCGCAGGTGACGTGGTCAATGTACCACGCACAAGGCAGTGCTGAGGAGCCACGTGGCCCTCTGCCGAGCATCATGCTCAGCGACTTGGAGAAAGAGGGGAGGAGGCTGCCAGACACGGATCTTAAAACTCTTAGAACTTGCTCATCTGGGACTCAGTTACCTCGTCTGTCAAAGAGCAGAATTGGAGTAGATAAGAATTAAGTTCTTTTCTAATTCCATAATGATACTTCTCTCTTCTATTTTTTCCACCTTCATTTAAAAACATTGATCAGAACAAGGTTTTCCTTTTTTTTTTTTTGCAGTTTATTTTTTATTTTTTTGGCTGGGGCTGGGGCTGGGTTTGAACCCACCACCTCCAGCATATGGGGCCAGCACCCTACTCCTTTGAGCCACAGGTGCCGCCCCAAGATTTTCCATTTAAATTAGAACTAGAACCTCAGTTGCGTTGGTTTATGTACTGACCATGGGCTGAACCGTGCAGGGAAGTTGTGCTGCTCACCCAGCTGCTGTTTGAATGCCTGCTGGTTTAGTAGACGTTGTTAACACTTTTTATTCTCTTTATGCGGTGGGCTGATGACACATTTTGATTATTTGCATCTCCTTAAAGATTTCTGGAAAAACAACAATTTATGCCCCCTGGCTAGCCCATACCTGGAAAGTAGGGCCAGGCCAATGTCCCTAGGCTGTCCCTCTTGTAGCTGAGGAGAAACATCATATGTCGTGGGGTTGCTCAGATCCTATTTCAAATCCTAGTGCCACAACTAACTAGCTTTGTGAACATGGGCAAATCATTTAATTTTTCTGAGCCTCAGTTTTCTTATCTCTGAAATGGGGGTAATCTCCCTCTCAAAAAATGGCCATGAGGGTTAATTTCTATGAAGTACCTACCTCCTCCTGGGGCACAATAGGTGCTCGGTAGCAGAGGGGTGCTTTTTCCTTATTCTCTCGTCCAGGGCCCCTTTCTGTGGGTTTATGTGATTAATTAGACCCAGCTTTGAGCAGCTGGTTGTTGTCCAGCAGACTCACAAATTCAACACAAAATTACTCAGGTGTTAAAAGACAACTTAGGTTCATTATTTCTATGATTAACCTGATCTTCTTCATGATCTTCCGATTCGTAGGAAGCCAGAAAACAGAACTTCCGCCCTAGGACGCATCCCAAACTTGTCTGGCCCTGGAGAGAGGCTGCACCACAGCCCCACTGACGCTTCGTGCCCCTCCATTCTCTTCTCTGGAAGGCAGTCTGCTCCCTTTCCCATCAGGAGGGGTTCACTTTTCACCATGCTCTGCTCTTCTAGCCCAGGCTTCATGGCAGATGGGGCACAGGGAGAATAAGTGGTTTACTGATAAGGGAACACGAATCAGGAGACGTTTCAACATCATTACACCCCTTACGATTGCTTGTTATAGTATGGTAAACATACTGCACTCCGGTGCTGTGTCCTTTGCAGACATAACTAATTGAGCCAGGATCTGACAGGCATGACCTCAGGTGTTGCTCTGAACATTGCCGCAGGAGTTTCCTTAGCCATCATGTAATTGTGCAGGATTTTTCTTTTTTTTTTGTGACAGAGTCTCACTGTGTCACCCTTAGTAGAGTG